AGCCCAAGCTAAGGACAATTTGAAAGGCCATTGACAAGTGGCTGTAGGAACAGCCAGAAAATTAGATACAAAAAGAGCCAAATTAAAATAGAGAAATGAGAGTCGGCAAAAAATGCAAGTAGCACATATACGTGATAAATTGAAACAAGGTCTTTTATTATTATTGTTAGGTGTTTGTCATAATTTTCTTACCATATTTGGTTTTACTATTTGTTGAAGGAAAGGGCAATATAATTACCTTAATTGAGTTTTCCTTTTTGTAAAAGGAAATTATAATTCTCCTATACTTGAATAGTCCTTTTTCTTGTAGTAAAAAGTTTGGACTTCTATAAATTGAGGATCCTTCCTTCCCATTCAGTAGCATCCACAATGTAGCCATATGGGGTAGAAAGTCGTGTTTAGGGGGAGAACCTTATGAGACAAGTCACTTGTGTTTGCCTCTTCGTGAGGTTGTTCTCTCGATATTTTGTACTCATTTTTATATAGTGGATTGCTCATCTCCACGGTGGACGTAGGTCAGTTGACCGAACCACGTTAAATGTTTGTGTTTCTTTTGGTATATTTCTCTTTGTTGTGTGATTTATCGTCGTTCAAGGTTTGCTTTGCTAGCTTCCGCATAACACCTGACTTTTGCGGTCCTAACAAGTGGTATCAAGAGCCAGCTTCGAGCGAGGTTCAAGACATGTTCATTTTGGCGGGTTCAGTTCGAGCCACAACATATTTGACGATAATCGTGATTTTTTCTGAGAAATTTGACCGGTGTGCTACGCACGTTGAGACAAACTTTGTGGTGGAGATTTGGAGATGCGACCTGTTGAAGGCTATGTGAAGAAGGTGGATCAAGTTTATTTTGTCAGAAAATTCCGGCCAAGGGGGAGAATTGTTAGGTGTTTGCCATAATTTTCTTACCATATTTAGTTTTCCTATTTGTTGAAGAAAGGGCAATATAATTACCTTAATTGAGTTTTCCTTTTTGTAGAAGAAAATTATAATTCTCATATACTTGGCAAGTCCTTTTTCTTGTAGGAAAAGGTTTGGACTTCTATAAATTGAGGATCCTTCCTTCTCATTCAGTAGCATCCACAATGTAGCCATATAGGGTAGAGAGTCGTGTTTAGGGGAAGAACTTTATAGGACAAGTGTTAGTGTGTCACTTGTGTTTGCCTCTTCGTGAGGTTGTTCTCTCGATATTTTGTACTCTTTTTTATATAGTGGATTGCTCATCTCCGCGGTGGACGTAGGTCAGTTGACCGAACCACGTTAAATATTTGTGTCTCTTTTGGTATATTTCTCTTTGTTGTGTGATTTATCGTCATTCAAGATTTGTTTTGCTAGCTTCCGCATAACACCTGACTTTTGCGGTCGTAACAAGTCTCACCAAGCACTCCACTTTTCATTCTAAGACCAAACATATAAATAGAAAGTATCATTGGATAAGAATGGTCATGGAAGAGAAATTATTTGAGGTTGAGAAGATACACACTGATAAAAATCCTTCGGATATGCTGACAAAAGCGGTGGTTGCAGATAAACATGAATTTTGTAGAAAATTGGCAGGCATGAAGCCTGTCAATAGTTTCTCTACTTAAAGACACATTTGGTACCTTGGCTGGAGGGGGAGTTTGTTGGGCTCATGCCTATGTTGTCCAGCCAAAGGCCCAATGGCTTAATCCTATTCTCTTTTGGTTTCTATTTCTATTTGGAATTGGATTCGGTTTATTCCTATTTTGAGTGGGTTTTGGCTTTAAGAGAAAGCACCACTCATGATCTATAAATAGGACAACCTTGGAGAATTATTCTATACTCATTGATACAAGTCTTTGAAAGACTTAAGCACATAAGAGTGGTTTTTGAGAGAGCTTTCGTCAAGAGAGAAGAGAGAAGAAAAATATTTGTTTTGCTGCAGATTTTTATTCCGATCAGCCAATATTCAAATTACGTTTTCCGTTGGTTAAACGTTGGATCGGGCTAAAATTTAGACTGAGTGTTCGCAACATCGTGGTCTTGGATTTGAACGGTGGAGATCGGATTTGAAGGCTTGTAACATCTGATTTCGAGCCTCGAACAACAGTTTTATTTTTGTGAATTCTCCTCTTTCTTCAATTGATTAGTTGTTGCTCTTGTTACAATTGTTGCTCCGTGTTTGGCACTTGTTGTGTATCCAATTTGGAGAACTTTTGTAACTCTCTTATTGTTATAGTGTAGCTTTTTGGATCTTTGTGATCCCGTGGTTTTTACCTTCGATTTAAAGAGTTTTTCACGTTAAAATTTAATGTTTTTTATCTTCTTTATTTTCGGGTTTGCCTCTTCCTCATCATAACAATTATTTGGTCATATTTTACGTTTACCTTCAGATGCAGGTGTAAAACATTGAAGATGTTAAAAGGGGAAGTTGTAGAACTCATTAAATCACCATATGCACGGAGGAAGTCGTGCCTAGAGAGTTAGACTATTCCCTTGGAATATATCTGTGCAAACCTAACAAAAAAATATAGCACAAGGGAAGAAGAAGATCAATATAGGCAATTACAATATAATCAAAATATATAATTATTAGTATTGTTTACTCTTAAATTAGATAACAATTAAACTTGTATGTTGTTTAAAGAATAGGTGATTTAATTTAACACGAATGATCAAAGAACAATAAATAACTGAATTGAAAAGAAATAACACGATCAAACCAAGTGTGGTGAAGTGATTAAGCCTGGGTTAGACTCAAATTGCAACTAAATGAGTGAACAACTGAAGAACACTTGAACAATTGCTAAAAGCCAAAATATACTTTAATTTATTGCTTTCATATGCATGCCAATAGTGACCCAAAAAATGTAAGGGTTCTCCTCTTTATATGTAGTAGAGGAGTCTTAACCCTAATACAAGTCTAAATAAGGTAAAAATCCTTTCTTCCTTTTCTCCCGCAAAAACATGTTCTACATCCAAAATCAAGCGTGATCTGCGCCGTAATATCCGGCTGATGGTAGATATTTCAGCTCTTCATTTGTCTTGTTTAACCGTTTTTCCTTTACCCTCAGTTCTTCGTACTGCTCGAGCTAGAATCTTTCCGGGTTCAACCATGCTCGATTCCCGACGTATCATTCTTCGTCTGCTCCTGATTTCGATCTGCAGGTACCCTCGATCTTACTCAAGCTAGTAACGAGTAACGTTGTTCCTCGCTTCTCAATGGAAAAATAGGGGTAACTCTATCCCCGATTTGACCCGTACACAAATATATTTACTTTAGGGTCAGTGTTCGCTAAAGTCTTTGATATTGTTAAGTACTCATATATGTCTTGTGAAATGTAAAGAACTAGTGTTAAAGAAGCTTATTAATTGATATTGGACTAAATTTTAAATTAATAGCGAAATTGTTTCATATATATAATTAACCCAACTTACTTGGGATTAAGACATGTTATTATTTTTAGATTTTGTAGAGCAACATTCTATCCTCCACCACTTTGGTAAATGGATTGCCATTCTGATTTACTTAACACGTGTACTGCTCCAAGTAAGTTCAACTATAATTTCAGATTCTTTAGATTCACTTGCCACCTAACGTCCTTTCCTCTCTCCTTTTCTCTTCTATATTATTCATTGGCCACCTTATATCCCAAATATTAAAATAAAGAGGCGTCCAGAAAAAAGCCTAGCAAGAAATCTAAAGGACCAAAACCAAATAGCCAGCTACACCAACCTGCCTGAACCACGAAGAAGCAAAAACAAAACCGAGTATGGTGTACCATTAAACACGCAACCTGCTATTACGCGTGAGTCCTTTTTTTCCCATAGAGGGGTGTCTAACTTGTTATCCGTAATGCAACGTATTATTATTGTTATTATTATTATTATTATTTTTGGAAAATTTCAAGAAAATTCGCAGTTGCTATTTTTCGGGTGCGAACAGGAAAACCTGCTCACTGTATAATAACTTACAAACCACACAAAAAATATAAATTATATTAGACATTCCGATGCGACAAACTCTGACTGAGAAAGTTGTTAGTGAGGGAAATTGATCTAATGCAACGTTATTTAAAACGGTCTTTTAAAGCTTTTTATGAGATGTTTTTGGAGGATAATGTACACTTTTTAAATCCTCACCACATCTTCTTCACGTGTCCTGCACTATGATAGAGCTATGAGTGAAATAGATAGAGAATATACTTCCAAAACATGATTCACGAAGACGTTGCATAATCCTATTGATTATCCTCATGAAAAATGTACGCGTATCCAGGATCAAGGGAACCTCATATACCTGAATTGGATATTCCCTCTTCACATATTCCTTTCTTGATAATTTGATTCTGCTACTAGTTATTCCAAAATTCCTGCGTGCCTGCAGTATTGCATGAACATAGCCGTAAAATTTACCTTTATACACTGATAATATATAATACAAATTTATCATGTCACCTTTTTAGGTTACCTAAAATAACACTATGTGTGACATCCATAAAAAGATGGGATTAGTAATCTAAAAAATAAGGTATCAAAAGTGTAGCTTAGTACTCAATGAATTAAATGAGTTGAGAATTATAAGGTGTCAGACTCAAACCATAGCGGAGATTAAAAAAAAATACTAGGTGATTTCTCACCATTTTTTCAAGTCTTAGGGGACAAAGTTACTTGGTATCTATTGATGGTGGGAGGCAGCAAATATCCCGTAAAATTAGTTAAGGTGCAAAATAATAGCAAGCCAATAAATAAGGTAAGTTATCTGTTACATTTAAACGAAATTGCAAAAATACATTACGTTGTAAGTGTACGCATATAGGGTAAATTCGGAGCCATATATATTAGTAGAAGTATTTGGAAGAACATGAGCCCACTATGTTTGTCTTTTTACTCAAGTTGCATTTAGAATTATGCTAGAGTATTACTTTCTAACCTATGAGTGTAATTGACCTCCACACATTCAGAATCCTCATCTACGTGCCTCAACCATCTTCTCTATATCCTTATATAATCCAATAGAAAAGAGATAACGTACACGAAAAGGGATAAAGAGAAAAAGAAGAAAAAAGCAACATCCTCTTGCTTTTTTTCAATTTTTAAAACTAATAATATTCTACTCTTTCTTAGTTCATAGATTTTGGTAGTTGAGTGAATAGTCAGGATGCTGGAAGGCAAAGCAGTAATTGGAGACACAGACATGCTGGCAACCATGCAACGAGATGCCTTAGATTTAGCTGCAAAAGCTCTTGATTTTTTTGATGTCACTGAGGCCACTGAAATTGCCCGCTACCTTAAAAAGGTACTCCTCATGATAGATTAATTTTTTTTTTTGTCTTGTTCTGTTTTTCATGTTTTTATTTTTCCCATCAAATTTCGTAGACTAGGGTTGATCATGGCTAGAGGCAGATTTTGAATATAGAGTTGATGGTTTCAATATTTATATTCTTACTGCTGGAGCTGGATCCATTGCATTTTACCTACTATTAAAATTATTGGATTATGTTGAACCCTTACCTTGTTGTCTACATCTTTCTCAGAGCAAGAATTTTAATAATGGGAATCAAAATACTATAGGATTCCACTACTAGCACTCGAACCGACAAAGCTTAAAGCTTTAGTCATATTTATCATTGTACTAGAAATTAAATTTCCCTCATGTAATTAAAGGGGATTTAAGAATTTATGTATTTAGATATCAAAATTATTGTACCTTACAGAATTTTCATTGAGGGGTGTCAAAATATATAAAAGTAAATATATCAAAAAATTAAGGAGAGTCAACAACATAGTATATATACATATAAAATTTTCTCTTTACCTACCTACACAATGTATTTTTCCCGCGAAGGGGTGTCGTTCCTATAAGATGGCTCCGACACTGACCTTGTACAACATAATTTTACCTTCAGTATAATTGTCTGGAGGGGATCATGCACACGAAAAGACATACAAAATAAAAGAGTTTGGATTTTGTTGTGTTGGATGCAGGAATTTGATACGATGTATGGACCGGGTTGGCAATGCATAGTAGGGACTGACTTTGGTTCATTTGTAACTCATTGCTATGGCTGTTTCATCCATTTTTACATTGGCAGCCTTGCCATTTTGCTCTTCAAAGGCTCAGCTGCTCTGGAGGACGCCAAAGCTGAGGCTGAGGCTGACCGATTTTCCGCTCTGCAGGAAATAGCGTGAAGCCGCCATTCAGCCATACCTCCAAGTTGTTGATTAGAATGGAATTAATTGGATGTCCCGAGCCTAATGTCACTTCTCCATTTTACCATTCTCAGCCAGGACCTACTCCAATGTACAATATTAGGAAAAAATATATATTAGGATCTTCCAAAGTTTTTCCCATAAATTATTTTCAGTTTAATCTCTTCACATTTTTGTTTACAAGTTATATATGTCCATTCTCTTTGGTCATGATCAATGTCATTTTGCTTTATGATTTTGATTCGTTGACTATTCTATTTTACAATTCATTGATAGCATTTGTCATCCTTGTTTGGAGTTTGAACAAGAAGAACATGGAGGATCAATTATGTGGTCAAGGATTTTAGTAAATACCAATAAATTCCGCATCAGAGTTACCCCAAAAAAATAAAATTACGCATCAGTTAAGTTCATTTGGATTGGATATATGAATTCGCAATATCATAAACTTTGTTTGTTGTATAATAGTAGAGGCCAAAAGTTTTCTAATTGGAAATTTTCCCTTAGAAATCTGAACCGAATAAATTTACTGAATAAGTCAAGTATTTGACTCAAGATAGGTTCCCCAAATCTGAACCAAAAAAAAAAAAAAAAAAAAAAAAAAAAAAAAAAAAAAAAAAAAAAAAAAAAAAAAAAAAAAAAAAAAAAAAAAAAAAAAAAAAAAAAAAAAAAAAAAAAAAAAAAAAAAAGAACAAGAAGAATATTCCGAACCACAATAAAATATATATGACTCAACCTTTTGTATGCGTGAGGACGGAGTCAACCTAGTGCATGCTTAGCTTGCAGTTTCACTATGCATCTTCTAGACTCATTTGATATCTTAATTTAAACTTGAAATAAAGAATTTGAAGCTGATAAATTGGTACGAGGAGTTATTGTATAAGGTAAAATATGTTCATATTAAATGCTCGCATAATAATGCGATATGTATGGAGCCGAAGGCAGATGGAAAGCGAGGCAAATGACAATCAGGTCCGAAGGCAGCAATCCCGTTTGTTCACGAAGGAAATGATGTTCATAAAGGCAAAATAAATACCTGTCATCCGGTAGCATTTAATGGAGAATATTCGATAGCATTAAGTACATAGCCCGTTACAAAGAATATGATATTCATTGCCTACCGTTACATATTCTTCAATGGCCCCCATAATTGTCATTTAAGAGGGGCTTGATCCTAGGACCTTGTTCCCTAGGAACAATTATAAATAGTGAGCTCAATAACCATTATAAAGGGGGATTTTTTCTAACAAGCTCATAATTTAAACTGTTCAAAGCTCAAAAATATTTTATCCTCTTGCTTATTAATATCGTTACTACTTCCTCCGGAAGCTCTTTGCTCTCGGAATCAGGATTTCTGTTGTCTTATCTCGATTTCAACTCTAAGTCTTACATCCTTGTTTAATTTATTTATCATTTTGGGATAAAATCGATTTACTTGTCTATAAACCGCGTATAAATTCAACTATACCGTTTTGCGGGTAAACAGTTTGGCACCCACTGTGGGGCTTAGACAATTGTGTAATTGAGTTGATCCTTGCATCTATTACTAATCCGTTTGATTCTTTGTTCTTAGCAAAATTCATAGAAAATGGCAGATAACGATGTCAACATCGCACACAACGTTGAGGCCAAAGGAAATTAGCCTCAGCACGAAAACTCGATTAGTGATACCCGCGATGAGGGGGAGAAGACTGGCTATATCCACGACATGTTCGAGAGGCAACTCCTGATGCAGAAGAAAAGCACATCATTGAAACAGTAAGGATCCTGAGGGAGCAACAAAAAGCCATTATGGGCCACCTCTTACGACAAGATCAAGTCATGACATAGTTAAGGCAGGCGTTGTCGGGGGCATCCAACAACGCGAATGGACAAGGTCCAGTTCCTCCCGGTGCTCCCGCAAACCAAACAATGCTAAGGGTAGTAACAACACCCCAAAAGGCGAAGCCGGCTTTCACAGGGCTAGGGAAAATGGTAGCGAAACAACAATGAGAATGATCCCTTTAAACCTGAACTCATGCGATTTATGAGGGAAATAGATGCCCGAATGGATAAAATTTCGAGCGCACCACCAGTGTTGAAAAGACTGGACTCAAAGAAATACACCTAGTTGTCGTTCAAACCAAGAGCGACACCAGAATTGATCCCGAAGTGGTTCAAAATGCTAGACGTGCCAAAGTATGATGGCACTTCAGATCCTCAAGAGCATATCACCACCTATACAATGACAGTGAAAGGGAATGATTTAGCTACGCACGAGATTGAGTCAGTCTTACTGAAGAAATTCGGGGAGACCCTCACGAAGGGGCCCTAACATTGTATTCGCTATTGTCGGAGCATTTAATAGATTCTTTGGAGATGCTCGCAGATTCTTTTATCAAGGCCCATGCCAGGGCCAGAAAGGTACATGCCTAAAAGGCTGACATATTCAAGATTGCACAAGGAGAGTCCAAATTGATGCGGGAGTTCGTGACCAAATTTCAGAAAGAAAGGATGCTGCTACCGGCCGTACCAGGCAAATGGGTAGCTGAAGCATTTACTAAAGGGCTGAATCCGAGAAGTTCTAATGCTTTCTGAAAATTGAAAGAAATTCTACTCGAGTTTCAGGCAACAACATGGGCAGATATTCACAACTGGTACGAGTTAAAGAGAAGAATTGAGGATGATCAACTCGGTTTCCCGACATCAACCAAGGGTCGGTACTGGGAGAAGAACAAGGAGAGGATGATTTCGACACAGATTGACGGTCTTCAAGAGGTTAGTCTTTGCCTTATGAAAGGTCGAAGGACGCGACAGAGGTTTTCGGTCAACAGATGGTAATAACAGATCATTGCAGGACAAGGAGATATCGGGTTCCCGAGAGTCCTCCTATCCTAGGCTATTCGAATGCAACTTCAACGTAAGCGTAGTAGAATAGTATCAGCTATGAAGAACATTAAGGAAGCACGGTTCCCATAGCCAATGAGATCCAATCCTAGATAGAAGGATCCTAATTTATGGTGCGAATACCATGGGACCAATAACCACCAGATAGGGGACTGCCAGCATTTGTGTGAGGAGGTGGCGACATTGTTGAAAAATGGCCATCTCAGAGAATTCTTAAGCGACCGGGCTAAAAATAACTATGTTCGCAATCGTGATAACGTGGAACCCTCTAAAGCAGGAGAAGACCCCCTTGTTTAATGGTTAACATGATTTTCGGGGGGACAAAATTAATGGTGTGACCTTTTCGACGGCAAAAAAGATGAAGCTATGAGTAATCCAGAGTAAAAGACTCTGGGAAGTCGCTGAGGACAACATCACTTTCACGGAGGAAGACGCAGATGGACTATTGCTGCCATACAACGATGCCTTAGTAATATCTCTTAATGTCTTAGATTTTAAAATTAAACGTGTTTTGGTGGACCTAGGAAGTTCGACCAATATTATCCATTGGAAAGTGCTAGAACAAGCCAATTTGATTGGAAGTATCATTCCGGCCACAAAACTCCTTGCCGGCTTCAATTTGGCAAGTGTGACAACCCGAGGAGATTCCCTGCTTCCCATGAATGTCGAGCGGGTATTGAAGATGACCCTTTTCGAGGTAGTAGACAGTGATATGGGGTACAATATTATCCTGGGGAGACCATGGTTGCACGAGATAAAGGTTGTACCGTCAACATATCATCAATTACTTAAATACCCAACTCCTGGGGGTATTAAACAAATAAGAGAAGACCAATCGGTTTCAAAGGAAATAAACACAATCTTAGTTTCTAGTAGAAAAGGGAAGTATCATCCATCATAGCAATTACAGGAACCGACGCCTTCTCCCAAGCCGAGCAAAGTCAACCAGGGGGTGGAGTCATCGAAATCCTATCAGGTACCAAGATATTTCCAGGTACTAGAAGAAATGGACGCAACAACGTCCACATCGGAAGAACTTGAGCAAGTTGTGTTGTTCGAAGAGTTCTTAGAGAGGAAGTTCCACTTGAGGACAAGACTAAACCCCGAGCTTAGGTATGGATTTATCGAATTTTTTAAATTTAACGTTGACTATTTTGCATGGTCGCATGCGGATATGACATGTATCTCGCCAAAAGTGGCTGTGTACAAACTAAGTCTGGATCCTAACATCCCTCTTGTAAGGCAAAAAATGTCCTATTGTTGAGGTCAGAAACAAATTCGTCAAAGAAGAGGTAACTCATTTGCTTGATATCCGTTCAATCTGAGAGATAAAGTATCCTTACTGGCTCGCTAACGTAGTAGTTCTAAAGAAGATTAATAAATTTTGCATGTGTGTAGACTATAAGGATCTAAATAAGGCGTGCCCAAAAGACTTGTTACCGTTACCGAACATTGATCAAATGATTGATGCGAGACCAGGCACGAGTTAATGAGTTTCTTCGATGCTTATTTCGGGTACAACCAAATCAAAATTTACCCGGAGGATCAGGGAAAAACTTCATTCATAATGAACTTTGGCACATATTGCTATAACGTGATGCCTTTCGGGCTAAAAAATGGCGGAGCCACTTATCATCGTCTCATAAACAAAATGTTTGAAAGTAAATAGGGAAAACCATGGAAGTTTACATAGATGATATACTAGTTAAGTGTTTGAACGCAGGTGATCATCTCAAACACTTGCAAGAAGCCTTTGACATCCTAAGGAAGCACAACATGAAAACCCGAGAAGTGTGCATTCAGAGTCAGCTCTGGTAAGTTCCTAGGATTCCTGGTATCGCAAAGTGGGATCAAAGTTAAACCTTATAAAATTAAAGCCATCGAAGACATCCCCGACCAACTATCAAGTGTAAAAGAGGTTCAAAGGTTGACAGGAAAATGTCATTACTTCCTTTCACTCCTCAAAAAGAAGAACAACTTCGAATAGACTCTAGAATGCCAGCAGTCTTTGAAAGATTTGAAAAGGCATTTATCGATTCCTTCATTACTATCAAAATCAAAAGAAGGCGAATAATTGTTGATTTACTTAGTGGTCTCGAAGATAGCGGTAAGTGTCGTTTTAGTCCGCAAGGATGAAGGTACGCAATCTCCTATATATTATGTTAGTAAAATTTTAACGGGATCAGAAACTCGCTACCCATATCTGGAAAAGTTGGCCTTAGCTCTCGTAGTCGCCACTCGAAAGCTTAGGTCTTGTTTCCGATGTCATCCGATAGCCTTTGTGACCACTTTTCCCCTACGGAATATCCTTCATAAACTTGAACTTTCAGGTAGGTTGGCCAAGTGGGCAGTCAAAA